TCGAATTTCCTCCCCTTTCCCCCTGCCTTATGTAAGTTGAAGCTCTGGCTGCAAATCGAACCAAAATTTTGCGGCCGGGGTGTTTCATACCTCAAAATTTTCGTAAGTAGGGACCTCCGTAAGTCAAGGGTCCACAGTACTGATCTGTCATGTCTCTCCTTTGGTCCAGTAGGACTGTTGTTCCAATTTTATTCTTGAATTTGCCTCACACCTCATGGATTGGCTCCAAAATCCTTTAGGGTTGCTTTCCTTGCATAGCTTGCAGTTGTGATAGTAGTTGCAAAATTCAGGCCAAAGCAGAAGTTGCGGTTCTGCAAGTGCAATTGTGCAACTTGTTGCACAATCGGTTGTGCAGTCCTTTTCTGCAATCTGGCATGTAACTCCCCACAGACTTCCACAGACATAAGTTTATGTTCTACTAAGCAAAATATCATTTCAGCCAGGGGTTAAATGAAGAGCAAATTGCTCAATATTTCTAAAATAAATGTGAAGTTCATAGACTTGTAAGCACACATATATACACAACACACTAGTTGAGGATGGATAAAGTCCTTTTGTATGTACCATTTCACTCTTTTTAAAAAATTGAATTCCAAGTACTTAAAGAGTCTGTAAACATAAAAAAAAATAAATTAATGGGATATTTGCCTATGGATAAAGTCCTTTTGTATGTACCATTTCACTCTTTTTAAAAAATTGAATTCCAAGTATTTAAAGAGTCTGTAAACATTAAAAAAAATTAATGGGATATTTGCCCCTTGCTTTTTCTACCAGTGGGTTACATAAAAAGCTTTGGAATTTTAATTTTAATTAATTTCTCTCTGACCAGAAATGGCATATAAAAACTAAGATTCTTTAATAACAGCATTTGTTGTATAAAAATACCCTCTTACTGTACTATATTCCAGGAATGTGCCTCTGATGTCCTTTCTCTTCTGTTGCAGAAAGACATGTCTAGGGTGGTATGAACAATGGCCCAGTTCTATTACAAGAGAAGTGTCAATGCCCCCTACAGAGATCGCATCCCTCTTCGCATTGTACGAGCTGAATCTGAACTCTCTCCAGCTGAGAAAGCCTATTTGTGTGCTGTGGAGAAAGGAGATTATGCCAGTGTGAAGCAAGCCCTAGAAGAAGCGGAAATTTATTTCAAGATTAATATTAATTGCATTGACCCCCTTGGAAGAACGGCTCTCCTTATTGCAATAGAAAATGAGAACCTGGAACTCATAGAGCTGCTTTTGAGCTTTAACGTCTATGTCGGGGATGCCCTGCTGCATGCCATCAGGAAGGAGGTGGTTGGAGCTGTTGAGCTGCTGCTAAATCACAAGAAGCCAAGTGGGGAGAAACAGGTATTTGGAGAAGTTTCTGTTTTGTGAAATCGTGCTGATTAATCAGCCACCATCTGAAAATGCCCCTACGTAATATTTTAATGTACTGACCAAATGTTGTTTGTTAGAGCAAATAACAAGAGCCATCGCTGTTGTCATCATCATGGTGTCATTACGTTGCACATTTAAAAAGTACTTTCGGTAGCACTTCCTTGCCGGAAGAACATAAATTATTACTGGTAAAGTTTTTCTAACATGACATTTCCCTTAACAACTAGCTGGTTGTAAGCCCTACTCAGCTCTGTGGAATTAACTTCTCACTTAAACAGAAATAATGGGTGTTAACATGAATAAAGGATTTCCTATTTGGAATCTGCTAGATCTCCACTGAAAGATATGTGCCTTCATTTTCCAGTGTGCTTATCTGACCTTCATACGTTGTCAGAACAAACCAGGGTGCATTGGGGGGACAAGGTGAAAAACATAATCTTGCATCTAATGGGTGGGGTTATGTTTGAAGTGCAAACTGTTTTATTTTGTGTCGAATTGTCGCTATAGGAATTAATGACAGAATGGGAATGTTCTAGAGCTGTGGTCCCCAACCTTTTCGGAACCACTGACCAGTTCGGGGGGCAGGGGCTCCCCCCCTGTACTTGTGGGTGGACATGGCATGTTCATGGGAGCGTGGCACACTCACTGATTAGGTGTGGCACACTCTTGCACATGCACGGGTGAGCAGGTAGCTCATGGATGGGTGTGGCGCACTTGTGCACATGCACAGATGGGTGTGGGGCACTGACGAGTGAGTGAGGCACACATGTGCATGCATGCGAGCACCATGCCCACCCGCAAGCACACCACACCCATCAGTGAATGCGCCCACTCACCTGTGCATGCATGCGAGCATGCCACACACACCATGTGTACATGCGGGGTGACAGGAGAGCCGTCTCTGCAGCCCAGTCCTGCGAAGCCCACAGACTGGCACAGGCGACTGTGGATTGAGGACTCCTGCTCTAGAGGAGTGTCTCCTAACCTGGGGGTTGTGACCTCCAGTGGGGTCACAAAGTGGTTTTGGGGGTGTCAAGGGTCACCTTTTGTGTGTTGTAGGCCTTGTAAAATAATTTCTTCCTTGATCTTTCAGAGCACAATATTGAAGTTAGCATGTATGTGTATGTATGAAAAACAGGCCCTTTGGGGGAGAAAGAAACTTCTGCTTTCTGAGAAAGGATGTCTTTATCCCATTAAAATGCCTGTTTATGCAAATATGTGACAACTCCATAAAGGTTGGGGGAATAACTATTCTAGATACCGATGCGCTTGGGCACAACGCTTGCCTTTGTTGTGTATCGGTTTTAAGAACATAAGAGCCCTGCTGGATCAGGCCAAGGGCCCATCTAGTCCAGCTTCCTGTATCTCACGGTGGCCCCACGAGAGGCCTCGGGGAGCACACTAGATCCCTGTCTCCTGATACCCCTCCCCTGCATCTGGCATTTTGAAGTACTTTCCTTTTAAGCTTGGAGATTATACATCCCCATCATGGCTTGTAACCTGCGATGGGCTTTTCCTCCAGAAACCTGCTTAATACCCTTTTAAAGGCATCTACGCCAGATGCCATCACCACATCCTGTGGCAAGGATTTCCACAGACTAACAACACGCTGGGGAAAGAAATAGTTTCTTTTATCTGTTCTCATTCTCTCAACACTCAATTTGAGTGAATGTCCCCTGGGTCTGGTATTGCGTGAGAGGGAAAAGAGCTTCCTTCTATCCACTTTATCTATCCCTTTCATAATTTTATACATTTCTGTCATGTCTCCCCCTCAGGGGCCTCTTCTCTAGACTAAAGAACCCCAAACGCTGTAGCTTTTCCTCATAAGGGAGGTGCCCCAGGCCAGTCCTCATTTTAGTCGCTCTCTTCTGCACCTTTTCCAGTTCCACTACGTGTTTTCTGAGGTACAGCGACAAGAACTGTATGTGATACTCCAGGTATGGCCTTATTTTGTACAATGGCATTATACTGTTGGCTGTTTTATTATCAATACCCTTTTAATGAGACCTAGCATGGAACTGGCCTTCTTCACTGCCACCACACACTGGTTGACACTTTCATCGAGCTGCCCACCAGCACACCAAGATCTCTTTCCTGCTCTGTCGTGGACAGCTCAGAACCCAACAGCTGATAAATAAAGTTTTAAATTTTTGCCCCAATGTGCATTACATTTGCCATTTTGCCACCCATTCTCCCTTCTGGACCTCTTCACAATCCCTTTTGATCTTCACCACCCAGAAAAGTTTCCTGTGATCTGCAGTGTTGAACAGGTTGAAAAGCACTGGTCTCAGGACAGATCCTTGGGGCACACCGCTTTTCACCTCTCTCCCTTTTAAAAATTGCCTATTGACATCTACTCTCTGTTTCCTGGTTCTCAACCCAAAGGAGAAAGAACAGAGTGAGCCATTCCCTCAGCTAGAGACATCTGAGAGGGAGACAGATATTGAAGTAGAGAAGACAGTAGAAAGTGAGGAGTTGAATGCGGAGGAAGGGAAAAGAAGGGAATGAAAGGGGAAAGAGGAGACAATAGGAATCTGTCTAGTGGAAGAGAGAGAGGGAGAATGGGAGGAGGAATTAATTTTGCCTGTGTGGGTGGAGGCTATATGGGAACAAAGTGGGAGGAGAAAGTTTAGTGTACCAAGGAGAGAGAGAAAGAAGGAAGGAAGGGGAGGAAAAAGAGGGAAAGAAAAGAGAATATGAATATGATAGAATGTACGGGTTGTTGGAGGACTTCCCTAATTTGAAGGTAGGAGGGCTGCTACCTGACCCGGACAAGTCTAAAGAAAAAGGGACATCAACAGAGGCTCTAGAATGAATGGTTGTGTTCTTTCCGTGGGGACGAGGTCACTCAAGGAAGGTGATTTGCCTGGACCCTTCTTTAAACCATCCACTGCCAGAAGGAAATTGGGCCTGACACCGTTGTTGTGGGACAATATGTGTGGTCCAGAGTGCTCTGCTGAGGAAACCCACTAATCAGGAACGTTTTGGGCCAGCCCCTCAATGAATCTTGTCAATTTTCAGACAGAGTTATCGTCTTCACAGTTTGGGCAGTTGCAGATCTTAGTTGTTTTGACCCAATAGAAGTTATTGTAGACTCACCTAATGTTAAACTAAATAAATCTGTTAACGTTTCAAAAGAGACTCAGTCGTCATTTCCTGCCTGCCAAAAAGGAGGAACTGCTTCAGATCTTTAATGAGCCCAATCACAGCCCTAAAGCTTTGAGTCCTTTGCAGCTGTTTCACAGACTGCTCACAAAGGATCAAGGCCTTGCAGGTTCCAGCCATTTCGAACCAGCTATGTATTTCAGGCAGGGGAAAGATATATGTCAGAAAAGACAATGTACTAGTTCCTAGTGGGCTGGGGTTAAGTCTCTTGATAAATTGTTTGTGACAATTGTACCATTCAATATGAATGCAGCTGCATGAGGCATATACAGAAAAAAGGAATTTTAGTGACATCTCATAGGTTAGAACAAAAACAAAACAGAAAAGATGTACTATGGAATATTAAAAACTAACCCATTTATTTCAATGTGAACTTTTGTGGGTTATGATATACAGTTGTGCCTCGCTTAACGAGGATAATTCATTCCAGTGAAATCGCTGTAGAGCGAAATCCTCGTTAAGCGAAATAAAAAATCCCATTGAAACTCATTGAAAACCTGTTCAATGCGCTCTAATGGGCTGAAAACTCACCGTCCAGCGAAGATCCTCCATGGGGTAGCCATTTTTGGTGCCTGTAAAGTGAAGAATCCGTCCAAAAACACAGCGGGGAGCCATTTTACACAGCAGGTGGCCATTTTGAAGCCAGCGATCAGCTTCCCGAAGCAGGGAACCGATCGTCGGGAAGCAAATTTTGCCTATTAAAACATCATTTTGCGATCGCAAAAGCGATCACAAAACAGTCATCGTACAGCGGTTTCATCGTTTAACGAGGCAATCATTAAGCAAGGCACCACTGTATTTCTTCAGACTCATAGGTTGCCTCTCCTTCACTCTAGTTTGTGTCTGGTATGGATTGCTTTGCTGCACATTGTAGTGCAGCAGATTGCTATCTGTGCACTACAGTGCAGCAATAGATATGTGACAGCTCAATTCAGCATTCCATTAGCCAACTCAAAAAATTGGTGTTTCCTAAACAAAAACAATTATAAATTTAAACAGGATCTCAGAGAAGCACCAAATTTGGCACAGATGTAGCAGACAGTCCGCTCTTCCTCTGTGCACAAATTTGGGGACATTTCAGCAAAGAGTTTTGAAGTTGTGGTTTTCTAAAAGTTAATCTTTTACACACACATCCATGCGGATATAAGCAGACTTTTCTGTCTGCAGATTGAAAATAGATCAGATACATTGAAAAGACCAAACTTGCTAACCATGAAAGGGAATGGTTAGTCCCAACCCTTTTTTTTAAATTTAGAAGAAATCCAGAAGCCGGGGAGGGATTATCCTGTTTTTGAAAAAAGCCATTTGAGAAGCAAAAACCTTCTGAGCTTCTGGTTTAATATAACCACAGACATTATTATTGAAAACATTCTTGCAAGCTTAAGAGAGGAATTTAGAAGAAATCCAGAAGCCGGGGAGGGATTATCCTGTTTTTGAAAAAAGCCATTTGAGAAACAAAAACCTTGTTTCTGGTTTAATATAACCACAGACATTATTATTGAAAACATTCTTGCAAGCTTGAGAGAGGGAAGGAGATCTGAAGTTTTGACCCTGCCCGTCAGGATCAAATTAAATTATTCTCAGAATAACTTTTTAATTTCTTTGTGGCCAAATAGACATTAAAAAGATTTTTTATCTCTGGTCTTAAAAGATATTTTAAAAATAGCGAATAAATATTCAGAAGCTCACCCCTTTAAGTCATGAAATTACTGTTTGTTTGGGTTTTTTGTTTTTGCTTTGTGGCTGGGGATGATATATCTTGATGTTAGGAGAGCTTGGGGTGCCTGTTCCACCCATCTTGTCTT